GGGCTATAGGAAAGACTTCACTCGTTGAGAGTGATTCTCTGAATCTCCTTCTTAGAGTAGATATTCTGATGCTTCAGAATGAACACACACACACACGCAGGCACGCGTGCGCACACACACATACTGAACTGTTAATCGTTTGCCAACTGTTAACCAAAAATTCTGCTTGGAACAGGGGTCTCTGTAACACCATTTTACGCCCATGTCCAGGATCGTGGCAGATATGCTTGGGTACCCCTGTATGGGTTAAACTGTTCTAAGATAACTGGGAGATCAAGCGGTACAGCACAACATCATTAAACGTGGTGTTCTGCAAAGCTAATTTTGTCATGCAAAAATCACTGTTTCCTTTAAGAACTGCATCTGGCTTTGGCTTCTTCAGTCTTTACCCCTTTGGCTGAATCCTTTTTAAAAACTGACTTGCAAGAATTCCTCCTCCCCTGGGTCTCATGGGAGCCTTCTGGATCTATGCTACAGGGCACCGACACCATCAGATATGCCCCTTCTCCTCCTCCCCTCTCTTTCTCCTAGACCCCCCCTTCCATCTTTTTTTCTTTTTAACTGTGAAAAACAGAAGGTCCCCATTACTCTGCTTTGTGGCTCCGTAAAAAGAATTTTAAAACTCCTAATATTATTTAATCACAGCTTTCAGTGCCCCGCTGCAGTAAAACATAACAATGGGCTGGCAGTTCATCAATAGTAATTTGCTGATATTTTAGTCACAGTAGCGCTGGACATAATTGCCCTGCTCTGCCGCTGACTCCATAAAATTTCTTGATCTCGGTCAATACTTCTTTGTAATGGGGCTACAGTGAGAATCTTTGGTCTAACAACTCAGCTTTGTAATTTACACTTCCCGACTATTTGAGCAGGATTCATCCGTCCAGTTAGTCGGCATACTATTGTCCCCAGTTTCACTCCTGTATATTTAAATTTATTTGGATACACTATGTTCTTCATTATCCTCAATTTTACACATTAAAGCACAACGCTTCACTTCCAAACAGAGATAATAGCAGTTATTAAGAAAGAAGGAGCTAACTCGAAGACAGTAAAAATAAGAGAAACTTAGGACTTTGAATTCCTTTGAGGTCCGAAGTCTTCCCAGCAAGAGCAGGATTTCAGACCACACAGATTATTAATAAGAAGTTTATTGCAGGACAGAAGGCACCTTGAGAATTAATTTGATTACGTTGCCTTTTTTCTGTAGACAAATTAAAACATAAATTATCACCCCAACTGACTTCTCCTGGCGATGAAGGACAACAACAAAATAAGAAAAAAACTAGCGTAAATTCTCACTGACAGAACATACTGTGTGTGAGACTCTGTAAAGTCACCATTGTGAGCTGCAAATATTTATTACTTATACTATTGTAGCTCCCCTCAGTTTGGGGCAGAGATAACTCTACAGAGACAGGAAAAAGCCTCTCCCCAGAGAGCTCTCAGACAATGTCACAGATTGGGTGGCTTTGCAGGAGGCATGCAAGTACCCTTGCTGGATACTTAAGGAATAAGATACAGAAAACTTGCCACATTATACCAGATGTTATATGGCGACGTGGACAAATGTACATAACAACATTGAGACATGGATGTTTCTAAAACACCACAGAGAGCAAATATATTTTGATATCTTTGTCTAGCTTTTTGTGCCACTGCTCTGTGAAAACACAATCTTGCTTTAATAAAGTGGCCTTCACAGGCACAGCAGAGTCCTTTACAGAAGCGGACCACTGTAAAATTCAGTAACGCAGGGTGGAAAGAAGATGAAGGAAGCCTAAGAAGACACTGCAGCCTTTTATGTTGGCCAATCGACAAGCTCAAGGGCTGGAGGCCAGTGGACCCCTGATTACGAATTTTCTAATTACTTGCTCTTCCTGAGGGGCACCCAGAAACAGGTCAGGCAGCAGCAGCGGCACTGCAGTTCATCCCTCCTTCCCACCCCACTGTGGCTTACAAATGCATATGTTTTGTAACAAAGTACTTGCAAGAGCCTTTCTTCCAAGTAGCCATGTGTGGGGTGCGACAGAACATTTCCACAAAAAATATCTCACCAAAGGTGGGGCAGAACAAATACTATACCCCCGGTCACAGTTCTGGCATGCCCTTCTCTAAGATCCCTGAAGAAATCCGCTAGTTATTCTAAGGCCCCGAGTGCAGCAGTGAGGCTCTTGTTTGTCCCATGGCGGCAGCTGGAGACGCTAGAGCCTGCCATTAGAGATGGACTAGGGGCTGGAATCCACTCCATCCACAGTGAATGACTTTGGAGCTGACTCCATTCAAAAGCCCATCCGCTTTGGCCAATCAGTTCACACACGTGAGAGACGACCATGCAAGCTAAGCTTTGCTTATTCTGCACGTTTTGCCAAGATTTTCAAAACCACTTAATGGACTTGGACACACTCAAGGAGTGTTTTTAGATTCAAGTACCATTTGTTTAATGGAATTATTTTATAAACATTGATGCTGAGATTTTCAAAGCTATTTCAGGCTTTGGCCCACTGATTCCTCTTAATCTTTAATATAAAGTAACATCTGAACCTGGCAACCGTGAGATACTTGCAAAACTCCAACAGTTGCATAAACTCATTTCATAGTCAGAACAAGGCCTCCATTCCCCGGGATACAGATGAAACAGGTGGTTGATGTTTGTATCTGGAGGATTATTTCACATTGGCTTTACAAACCACGGTACAAGTCTTCATGCCCACGTCATCCAAGTATTTCATTTGAAAAGGCATCTCAGCCTCCTGACGTGAAATTGATATAGATAAATATATGTATGTGTATATACAGATATATATTTATGCATACAGTTATATGCATTTTCTATATATGAATGTGTATACACATACACATTTATATGCATATTAGTTTCCCTTGGTCCTGTGTGCCCTGCTGTTTGCATCTGCTTAGAAACTTCCAGCATTGCTGTTTTGACTCTGCACAGTGGTATCTCTTGTTCCTCCACGGCTGCTTGGGATGTGCTACCGCTTGGAGAACTTCCATGAGACAACACTGCACACATTCCCAACAGGCTGTTTCTCTGAGGCTTGGAGCCCTTCATCCTAAGAGAGCGGTAATTAAAAGAAACAGATATCCAGGAGTGGGAGAAGGATCAGCAGACTCTACAGTGTATACACAGTGCAAGTACATATGGCCTGCAGGCAAAACTAGAGTTGGGGAAAGGTGGCAGGGTGTAATAGTGGCTCATGGCACAGAGGTCCCCATTTCACTCTTTCTGTAGCAAGATTCAGGACAGTCATATTGCAAAACAGAGGACAGGAAAGAGGACAGAAAAGATGAGATGTGGGAGAAACCTCGGTCTCCCATATAATCACAACAAACTGAGAAGGTCTTATGCAAGCAGAATAGAAGAAAACTTGTCATTAACTTATGAAAGGCAGCTGGTTTCCCAATAACAGCTCCTACACATTCTGGTTTTAATATTATTGTTCTTGTCAACTGTGGGAATGCAATATAGATATAATGGCAGTTTATTCCAAATTGGTCATTGTTGGAGTTAATAATTAGGCAGTCAAGCACCAATTATCTCTGTTTTGTCTCAAATCATTAACTAAGAAATTTGTAGAAGTAATTTGGAGGAACGCATTAAAGCTGCACACAGTAGGGTGGGATCTGCTGTTCGCACAAGAGGTACATCGCTCTAAAGAGTTACACCAGCATAAACCTCAGAGCAGGATCAGGCCAATACTGTTGTATGGCTCTGGGACCTCTCCATATCAGATGCAGGGTGGCAGCACATTGCACTTGGAAAAAATACGCACATGTGTGGTGCTTAGCAGTTCTTTGCACCACTGGTTCATCCCTAAAGGAGGAAAGCTCCCCAAGAGCATTATCTGGAGCTCAGAGAGCAGAAAAGCTCTGACAAGGCCATCATGAGTGCGCCTTCATGTAGTGGTCACTGGAGCTCTTCTCCTGAGTGGAAACAGGTGGCAAAATGGGACTGCTCAGAGGACACAAGACCTAAGTGTTTACTCCGAAATAAAAGTCTCACATGAAAATGACTTAAGGAAAGTGCTCTCGACAGGGACACTCTCTAAGACTTCAAATATAACTGAACTGTGGAAGACAGCCAGCTAAAATAATGCTGCAGATCCAACATAAAGCAAAGCAGAAGGATTCCGACCTCATGTGACACTCCCAGAATAAAAACCAGACAGATGAGAGCCATCATTGATAGGGAAAGGTCCAAAGAGCCCACCTGGGGGCCCAGGTGCAAAGGCTGCCCTTATAACCCAATCATTGCCTTCCCCTATTGAGGCAACTACACTAGGTGTGCTTTGGTGAGGGCACACATTGGGCAAAATTTTCCCCTAGTGTAAGTCAAAGGGGTTCTGTGGGAATCAGCAAAATTAGGCTGAGCTACAGGAGATGAGAATCTGGCCCAGGGGTAAGAGACTTGGGCACAAGGGTTGAGCTGTCAGGGCTCCCGCTGGGGCAGTGGACATCTGAAGAGCCCCCTCTGAAGAGCTGTACTTTCCAAGCACAGCTGAGCCAGCCCAGCTGCTCCTCATGTGCTCTCTAACACCAACTGGGAGAGCAAAATGTTTGCTGAGAATGCAAAGAACGGGAAATGCCGCGGCCAAGGGAATGCAGGGAGATGGAGAAGGCATACTATTCTTCTAAGGTGAGTGAAAAATGAGGCTGCACAGTGAAATCCACTATTGTGATCATCTTCCTCTATTTTCCATATATATAGTGGAGATTACACACACACAAAAAAAAAACACTAGATGGGAAGCCTCCAGCAGTTCATAACATATGTTTCACTGTCTGCTTTAAATAAAATGGACCAAGATGAGAGTGTATTCACACAGTGCCTTAGAGCAAGGCACCAAAAAGAAATCCTTTTGCAGTTATTGAGTATAACTTCTCTTTCTCATTTAAGCATCTCCCAGGTTATCCTGCTCTTGTGGATGCTGAAATAAACACAGGAGGCCAAGGAAAGCACACACGACCTGTCATGAACTTACCTCAACATAGAGAATTGGGAAAATGCCAATCTTGTCTCCCAGCATTCCTTCTGCCCAGTTGTCATCTACCCTCCTGATGACCGTCAAAATTTCATCCTAAAATCAGAAACGTACAAAATACATAATCAGTTTTTTCTACAGAGAGAGGGATGCCAGTTTTTACAATTACCCACATGACAACTTAGGAAGAGGAACAAAGACAACCATAAACCATATAAAAATGCTCCCTGAATCTCGAGCCAGCAGCGCCCCAAGCCTGTCCTCTGAAGTGCATTAAAGTGACTTGCAGACAGCTGCAGTCCGTGCAAGCCACCAGCAGCTCCAAAGGCCTGGGCAGAGCAGGTGGGAACAGGTAACTCCTGTTTTCACTACAGGGACAGGGAGAATATTTGGACCAGGAGGTAGTCTTTAACCCAAAAGAGAAATTTCTTTAGCATGAACCAGCCCCTGCGGTGGCTGCTCCAGAAAAAAATTCAAAGGGAATTCCTAGCAGAGCACAGGTAGATCTAAAAACATGTCCATCATGAAATGTAAGGTTTAGCACAAAGTGCCTGGCATCTAGCCTGCACTGCTGACACACTGAATTTCATTTTTGTTTTGGTTTAGTTTTGTGAAAAAATGTTAGGAGGCAAAAGAGTAAACCATGTAAAAAGGCAAGAACAATAATAATGAGAAATAACCTGCAGTCAGCTGTTGAGTCAGCTTCAGTTCAGATGAAAGTTAGTTTTGCAAAACCAATGGCATTTTAATATTACAGATAATCCAAGCGATGCTACGCAAATCTCAGCTGAAGATGCCCCTTTTTGTGATTATAAAACCTGAGATTAAGAAAAGTATAAACAAACAAGTTTCAAACTGTTCAAAGGTTCTCTTGAGGGAATAAAAACCTAAAACACACCAGTGATTAGAAAAGCTCACACCACTTGAAACAAACCCTGAGTTACTCCTGTTTGAGCTGCTTAACTCACCAACTGATTTGTGCTATCGTATCTGTTTGCTTGGGTTTGTCACAATAAACTAGGACGTGAAGGAGCACCAGTTGTTACGAATAACTGCTGGAAAAAAACCCTCTCTCCACGGTACCATTTGGCATACTAAGATCCCATGAAGTGTTTCCTATGGAAAGCAGTGGGATGAAAGAAGTTGTAAAGTTAAGTTTGCTGGTGTGTCATTTATTTCCTTATTGCTTCCAACCTTATTCCATTCCTGTGCAGAAATTAAAAAATTATATAAAAATCTTCCTCCAGAAGGCTGAGACAGTTCTCTGCCCTTCTTGTTTTATTTTCACCACTCATTAGTGTTCTAGGAAAATAAAAGCACACTCATCTACATATGCTATCCAACCCTCCACGTTAATAATCTACCCATGTTAGCTGTTCAGGCAAGGGGAAGGTTTTTTTGCAGCTACTTCTCACAGAGGGAGAAAAAAAAATCCAAATTCCTGAACTAGAATGTATTGACAATGGTTTTAAATTGATAAAAAATGACCAGAGCAGTGATGTACTTTGCAGTTTTTGAACATGTTCATTTTGAACATGTGCATTTTGAAATCGTTTAAACATTTCCCTTGATTTACTCATCTCAATGATCCATTATGGGAAAGATAATAAAAACAGCCACAGACTGAGTCCTTTAGCTATTTATTACAGCTGGAAGGATGCAAGAAGAATTTGTGCATTTAATTTCCTGAAGAAATGGATAGTATTGCCTTCCAAAGCCCTGTCTGCATGGACCATTTTTGATCTGTGTAAAGAACTGACAGTAATATGGCTCTGTACAGTTTCCACGTGCTCTAACAAAAGACCAATTATCATAAATTTGGAATCTAGGTAAAGGGGATAAATGAGGAAAATAGAAGATTGAATTGCTTCAATGCCTTGGGTGTTTCTATCTTCTATATTTGTTCAGCTGTTTTCTTAAGAGACTTTTTCTAAAACCTAAAGCGTGAAGAGTCTACACTTTCAAGGAGATATATATATATATGTGTGTACATATAAAAATAAAAAATACGTACGTAAACACACATATGCATATCTATGTACACACACACACATATAAGATTAGGTATTAAGAAAATTCTTTCTAACTGTAAAAACACTGAAGTGCTTGACTAGATTTCTTAGAGAACCTACAGAATCTTCTTTCCTGGAGCAGGCTGGGCAAGCAGCTGGCAGGAAAGGTTTATCCTGAGTTGATGCAGCTCTAGGATGGGGCAGGGAAAGGGTGACCTTTCAAGATACCCTCCAGCTTTATTTTCAATAGACTTATGATATCGGGAGGTGCATTTCTGCATACTTATTTTAGCTTGGCTGTGCCAAGTTTGGCTGCCAAATGTGGTCATGTATGAGACAATCAGATAGCTGCACATCAAGAGACATGCTGACATTCAAGATGCGTATCTTTGTGGGAGAGCAAAGTGCAAATCCTTGAGAATGTTTCTCATTACGGAATTCTTTTTCAGAAGGATGTTGAAAAATTCCAGGAATTACAGCAAATCCTGAAGCATCACTGGAATTCTTTATTAGTTGAAAGTTTCATTGAATTCAGAGCCCACAACATTGTTCTACACACTGGGCTGGCAAAAATTTCAGCATGAACTATTTCAGTACCTTAAATTAGTCGGATAGCAGTGCTACCTATAAATTCCTAGAAAGGTTCCCAAAAGGATCATGAATAGTAAAAAGCCACAGAGCTCTTGGCATGCCACTTAAACCTTCTGAACTTCACTATTTCACATATAGTGAATTGATTTCCAGACAACATAAATGAATCCAAGCCTAAAATCTCATTTCAAAAGCCAATGGTATGTACTATAGACACCTTGTGACCTTTTTTTTTTTTTTTTTTGCCTGTTGCTGAAATCTCTCTAATTATTTGCTCTCTCTCACTTGCTGAAGTCTCTCTATTCATCAGTGCCTGGCAGCCTCGCCAAAGGCACGTAGGACCTGCAGTTGCAGTTTATAACCATTATCAGAAGGGAAGCCAAAGATAAATCACTTAAAAAACAATCTCATTGACGGAGAAATGAACCCTTTTGTTGAGGAAACAGCACAAAATTGTGTCCAATAACAGACATGATTCACAGCCTGATTTTTACTCTCGTCGTTAACTGCCATTAACGAAGCACTACAAAGCAGATGCATTTGCGGCTCTGCAGAGATAACAACTCCATCTAGTGCACTGGGGAGATTTCAGTGATGGCAGAAAGGCAGCATCGCGTGGCGCTCTGTGCGCCTGCCGACGACACTTGCCAGCTGGCACAAGAATCCCAATAGCTGGCTACCACAATGACAGTCCCACTGAAAAGCAAATGCCACTTGGATTGAAGGCTAAAGGGCTGGGATGTCACTCTGTAGTGATGAACTGGTATTGGAAGTGATAGTTCCAAGACTGGCACAAAACTTGTTAAACACTGCCGTGGGCTGGGAATAAAAATGTCGGAAAATGAAGGAAATAACGAGAGACTGATGTGATTAAAAATGTAACGAGCAATAAAGCACAGGAAACAATTGACGCTACCTTGACAGCTTTAAAACTCATCTACCACTGAGACACAGCCTTCGAAGGGCCACGTGAATTCATGCATGCAAAGGGTGGTCAAGCACAAAAATAAAACTGAGGGCTACATTTGGACACAATCTAAGCCTGGAGTAATTACACAGACAGACAACAATGCAGTTACACTAGATTTGCACTACTGCAGCTGAGAGCAGAGTCCTTTTGTGCATGGCTTATACCAGAAAACCTAGTCCAAAAAAGGATGGGTCATTTTGTAAAACAGAGACAGCATGAGCCCCGGCTCATACTGTGGTGCCATATAAGAGGACATTAGAAAGCTGTGTTAAATGAGTATATCTCAGAGGCATGCAATGAGACTCTGTAGGCCACATGCTGATTGCAACCATGCTCGTGATAATCAGGAGTAACACTTCTGCAGCTGCTGGAGTTAAACTGGTACAAAACTGACATGAAACTGGAACCAGTCATTACAGAGAATAAAATAACTGCTAACTGACTGATTTCGCTGATCCATGCCAAACCCTGAGGAAGAGTACATAAGTTGCAGATCCAGGATGTTTCAGAGGGGGAGGCACTGGGGGGACCGATGCCTTTATACACGGGTAATTCGGGAAAAGGAGTTAGGCGGTGCAGTCCACATGGTGTAAGAGAATGACAGATTGGACTTCGGTTCATCCCACTGGATCCTCACGATGGAAATTGCCCAGTTTTATATTTACAGCCATACATACAAAATTATTATAATTATTATTATTAATCACAGAATGATTGAGGTTGGAAGGGATCTCCCGAGATCATCTAGTCCAACCCACCTGCTCAAGCAGGGTCACCTAGAGCACGTTGCACAGGACCCTGTCCAGACAGCTTTTGATATCTCCAGGGAAGGAGACTCCACAACCTCTCTAGCCAACCTGTTCCAATGCTCTGTCACCCTCACAGTAAAAAAGTTTTTCCTCGTGTTCAGATGGAGCTGCCTGTGTTTCAGTTTGTGCCTGTTATCTCTTGTCCTGTCACTTAGCACCACAGAGAAGAGTCTGGCCCCATCCTCTTGACACCCTCCCTTCAGATACTCGTATACATTGATAAGATCCTCCCTCAGCCGTCTCTTCTCCAGGCTGAACAGGCTCAGCAATCTCAGCCTTTCCTCATAGGAGAGAGGCTCCACTCCCTTCATCATCTTGGTAGCCCTTCCCTGGACTCTCTCCAGGAGCTCCATGTCTCTCTTGTACCGGGGAGCCCAGAACTGGACACAGTACTCCAGGTGAGGCCTCATCCGGGGCTGAGGAGAGGGGCAGGATCACCTCCCTCCACCTGCTGGCAACACTCTGCCTCATGCACCCCAGGAGACCATTGGCCGCCTTGGCCACAAGGGCACATTCCTGACTCATGCTTAACTTGTCCACCAGGACTCCCAGGTCCTTTTCCGCAGAGCTACTTTCTAGCAGGTCTGCCCTTTTAACTTCAGAGCTTTCTAGCTACAGGAAACAAAAAAGGGCAAATGACAGAAGCCCTCTGCAGCGTCAGTGTAAAACAAACTTCATTTTCTTGCATTCCACCTCTGGAACAACACAACTTTTTAATTTTGAAAAAAATAATAGTGAGAGGGAAACCCAAATATCGTTCCTTTGCTTTTCCTTCAGATATTCTACAGATATTCTACAGATATTCTAATATCCTTCAGGTAGTCTGACGGCATCATAACAAAGAGGATGGAAAAAAAAATGAAGTCCAGCCAAGGAGTAATAAAACATAATGATATGGAAGACCCCTATATTTGACTTCACTTCTTGCAGTTTTTCCTGCAAGGGAAATCCTTCTTTATTACAAGTGTACAAGTAAAGTCCAGTTCTAAATGTCTCATGGCTTTAAATGAGCTGCAGGACTACAGATAGGTTACCCTAGTTTGTCTGAATGATGTGCTGATGCAACTCCTCTACCGGAGGAAAGAACAAAATAGTGTAAATGAAAATGAAATCAAGTCCAGCATCTTCAGATACAAATAGAGACACTGAAATGATGAATATTACTCTGAGTGACGAATCAAATCCACAGCAATGCAGTGCTCATGACTCTACAAAGGAACCGACTACATCAGCAGATCATCGAAAATCTGAGCTAAACAGCAACCTTCATCAGCAAAAGTGACAGCTAAAATTAGCATTGAGAAAACTGATGAAAACATGACTGTAAGGTCCTGAGATGAAAAATAGATTATTCACTGTCAGAGAGAACAGTAGGCAAGACATAAAAACAGTTACAAGGTGACAGTGCATATAGTGGAAGGAACTGAAGAAGAAAATAGCAAAGTGAAATAAAAACCCCGTGGGGAAAACACAATCATCAGGGATAAAAGGATGGAGAAAGTAACATGAGGGCAAAAAAAGGAAAAGAGGGATTGAGAGTAGAGTTATACAGCAGCAAAAAATGCTGCATGTGAGAAAGCCATTGGACACTCAAGAAAATGAGAACTATCAGCATACAAAGGCAGTTATTGTAAGAAGGGTAATGGCACCAAATATACCAAACACAAAGGTGTCTAAGGAAAGACCTGCCTTAACAAAAGAGACTGCAGCCAACTGCCATACAAATTAAGTTGCTTAGATCATGCAAGCAATGAATATCTTAAGGAGACCAGGAAGAGAGCTTATCAAATATGCTGCCATCATTACCCCTGGGCAAACAACGGAAAACAACACACCAGCAAATATATTTACTAACAGTATGTCAAAGGTAACTTCTGGCTAAGTTTCTCTTATTGCATAGCTACTACTTCTCATTGAGCAGCCATCTTTCTCGGAGAGATTCACAGCTCCGGGGAGGCTGGTTAGTCACAGCGCTCGCATTGTTTGCGATCATCAAACACGTTGCTTGCTAGGGAGCAAAACTGCTTACAAATCTTTTGTTAAATAAATATGAGAAAGTATATATTCTAGGAAATTGCATTCTGCTAGAAATGTTGCACAAGCAAAAAAACGTTACATTTGGTGAGAAAATTATATGCTGTGTATAATTCATTCAGCTATAATAAGTAGCCTCAAAACAGGAGGTCAGTAAAACCCTGGTGAAGGATATTTTTATCATCTCTTTCATATTCATTTCCAGCATAACTGTTATTACTTTATGTGATACTATAACAGCCATAGACAGCTGAGTAAAACACAAAATGACAATGAACAAGTTCTCCATGGCATTCAGTGCCATAAATTAACATTAAGAGATATGCTTTGTTTTAGTATGGGTTTCTTGATATCCATGAAGCCTATCTAAGGTCAATACAAATCGCTAGGAAGGCGAAGGAGAAAGGGGAAGCAGGAAGGGAGGTGGGGGGAGAGAGAAAACATGACATTTTAATTCCAGTGGAACGTACAATATCTCAGTTTTCTCTCATTGCAAATGGAATTTTTAAAACATTTTGGTTTACAAAAAAAACCCAGCATTTTTTTAAATGTCTGGTTTTAAAAATGTTTATGTTCTTAAAATAGGAAACACTGTGATATATGACAGTAGTATATTTCAATTGCTAATTGATATACGGTATGAGGCAATATATACTTTCAGGCTAAATGGCATTTTAAAACAAAATCCTGAAACATCTGATTCAAGAAGGCACATTAAGAGACACATTTCCATTTGATTTTTTCTGGAATCGAGTCATTCTTGCAGAACATTTCAGTGCAGATGAATATACAATTTTTAGACAGAAAAAAGTGTTTAGCCAGTACTCGTCGTAGATTTTTCACCGTATTTAAATTAACCTTGCTGCATAACACGCCAGGTATCTCAGTGCCTTGTCCTTGAGACAAAACGGGAGCACTTTGCTGACGAGGACAGCGCAGCGCTCGCCCCGAGGCGAGTCCCGGTCCTGTCCTGCGTGCCAGCCACGGGATGCCTGCTGCGTGCAGACCTGCTGAA